ATTAATACATGAATAATATATTTCAGATGAATCTTGCTCTTAATTATATAAATGACAGAAATCATTCTTTTTTCTATTAACAGATGTTAATCTAAGAAATCACTGATTTAGATGATGATTATGGTTAGATCCAGAGAGGATAGTTCTTCTTGGTAGCTCACGTTTTGGTGACAGTTTTCTTTCTTTCTTTTTCTCTGAAACAGGAAGAGAGGGAGAAGGACAGGAAAGGAAATTCACTATGTAGGCTAGGCTGGCCTTGAACAATGGCAATTCTCCTGCCTCAGCCTCCCGAGGGCTGGGATTATAGGCAGGCACCATCATGCTGGGCGTGGCAAAGGATTTCTACCAATGAAGACAGCTAAATTTACTTCACTACCCTTAATCTCTTCCCAAATTCCAAATCTTTATTTCTAGCAGCTAATTGGATATCTTTGCTCAGGTGACTTTTCTCAACTAAACTTGAACAATATTACTACTCCACCAGATTATTAATGTAAAGTCGCAAGCGTAATCTGCTGTAAACACATGCACTTTTGGCAAGTAGAACTACTTAACCCAATTAGAGTAGCAGCCTCCATGCCCTACCTCCTCTTCTTTCCTGAGTATCCTTTCCCAAGTGTGTAGCAGCCATAAGGTTCAGGTGGGACTGACCCAGGGCCTCTCTGGCATAAACCAGCTGGTGCACTCTGACCACTCCTTGCTGCAGCAGAATGTGGCCCAGATATGGTGACAGGACAAGGCAGTTTGAGAACGAAATTCCTCTTGCCACCAGGGTTCATTCAGATGGATCTTACCAGAGTGAAGCCAAGCCCTTCTGTTCAATGGATACACAAGGCAGGAAACAGGAAGTGTGTAGCCTGCACTGCTGGTGCAAATCACCCAATAAGCTTCGGGATAAAACACACAGATGACAGTAGGGCCAAGAAAGGTTTTTTTAAAAAAATATTATTTTATTGGTACATTTTAGGTATACAATATAATGACATTCATCATTGGAAATTTGCACCTTTACATAATCACTCTTGGTTCTTA